TTGCTGCTGTAACAAATCCACACATATTTAAGGTTCTAAAACAACACAAATTTAGGGACTTTCCCTGGTGGTCCAGGGGTTAAGATTCCATGTTCCCAAAGTAGGGGAGATCCCTGGTGAGGGAATTAAGATTCCATATGCCAAAGGGGATAGCCAAAAAAAGAAAAACAACAACAAAACAAATTTCTCGTTAATATCTTAACTGTTCCAGGGGTCAGAAGTCCTAAATGGGTCAGGAGAGTTGCTCCTCTGGCTGCTTTGGGGACAATCTCTTTTCTTGTCTCTAGCTTCTGGAGGCCACTTGCATTCTATGGCCCCTTCCAACATCTTAAAACCAGCATCTTTAACTCTCTCTCCCTCGGACCTCTACTGCTGTCTTCACCTCATTTTCTCTGGCCTCTGACTCTCCTGTCTCCTTCCTTCCCTTCTAAGGACATTTTCAATTACTTTGGAGCCACCCAGATAATGCAGGCTAATATCCCCATCTCGAGATCCTTAATCACATCTGGAGGGTCCCCTTTTCTATGTAAGGTAAGTTATTCATGGGTTCTGGGGATTACAATGTAGGCATGACTTTGATTGGGACTGCTCTGAATATACAGATCAAGTTGGGGAGGATTAACTTCTTAACACTCTTTCAATCGATTAATACGGTTTATCTCCCCATTCATTTAGATCTTCTTCAGTCTCTCTCTACAATGTTTTATACTGTTTAGTGCAAAATGTTTTGTTAAATTTATTCCTAAGGATTCTTATGGTATTTTAAATGGAATTGTATTTTAATTTGATTTTCTCATTGTTTTCTCCTGGGATATGAAAAAGCACTGATTTTTAACCTTTTAAATGAAAACATAATGAACATACAATAAAATGCAGGTTTTAGATACTCAGTTCAATGAGTTTTGACAATTGCATACTCCTGTATAATCGCTGCCTAAAACAGGACATAAAACATTTTTATACCCCCAGGATGTTTTTTCTGCCCTTTTACAGACAATTCCTTCCTCAGCCCTCCTACAACCAGAATCAGATTTCTATCATCACAGATTAGTTTGGTCTGTATTTATATTTTGTAGGAATGGATATATATATAATATACATGCTTTTTTTTTTTTTTTTTTTTGGCCATACTGCATGGCTTGTGGGATCCTGATTTCCCAACCAGGGATCAAAACCTGTGCCCCCTACAGTGAAAACCCAGAGTCCTAACCACTGGACTGACTGCCAAGGAGTTCCCAACATACACTTTTAAAAATGAGTAGCTTCTTTCACTTATAATGTTTTTGGAATTCATCCATATTGTTGCATGTGTCAGTAATCTGTTTTATGATTGAGTAGTATTCAGTTGCACAAATATACCATCATTTATCTATTTTCCTTATGACACGTGGGCTACTTCCAGTTTGGGGTTATTACGAATAAGGCTACCATAAACATTCTTATATAAGTTTTTGTGGACATTTATCTTCACTTCTATCGAGTAAACGCCTAGGAATGGAATTGCTGGGTCATAGGCTAGGTCTTGGAGAAGGCGATGGCACCCCACTCCAGTACTCTTGCCTGGAAAATCCCATGGATGGAGGAGCCTGGTAGGCTGCAGTCCATGGAGTCTCGAAGAGTTGGACATGACTGAGTGACTTCACTTTCACTTTCATTTTTATGCATTGGAGAAGGAAATGGCAACCCACTCCAGTATTCTTGCCTGGAGAATTCCAGGGATGGGGTCGCACAGAGTCGGACACAACTGAAGTGACTTAGCAGTAGCAGCAGGCTAGGTCTAAATTAGTAAGAATTTTCTAAAAGTTTCTTCAGAGTGGTGTTTCATTGTACAACTGGCACACAACCATTGTATCAGAGTTTCAGTTGCTCACATCCTAGCCAACATTTAGTGTTGCAAGTCTTTTTTATTTTATTCATTCTAATGAGTGTGACATTGTATCTCATTGTAGTTTTATAGTTACCTAATAATAATGATCTTAAGCACTTTTCTGTGTGTTCCTTGGGCATTTTTGGGTCTTATTTTGTGAAGTATCTGTTCAATTACATGTTCCATTTTTAAAAATTGGGGTGTTTGGGACTTCCCTCATGGTCCCATGGTTAAGAATCTGCCTTCTAATGCAGGAGACATGGGTTTAATTCCTGATCAGGTTCAAACCCTGGTCAGGGAACTAGGATCCCTCATGCCATGGGGCAACTAAGCTGCTTACCACAAACTACTGAACCTATACACCACAATGAGAAGCCCACATGTTACCTGAGGCACCCAAATAAATAAATATTTAAAAAATAAATTAGAGACATAATGGCAGAGGAGGGAGCTAGAAAGACAACCAAAATGACCAGAATTTGGGGAATTCTGTCATGTGAAGATTAACTACAACTAACTGAAGTTCCATATCTTCTGTGTCCAGGGCTTAGTGAAATGCCAATAACATTACAGGCATGCCTCGGAGATATTGCTGGTTCAGCTCCAGGCCATGCAATAAAGCAATTTTTCAAGATTGCAAATATTGCAAAAGTCACAGGAACTTTTGTTTTCCTAGGGCAAATGTTTATACTATAATATAATCTATTAAGTGTGTAATAGCATTATGTCTAAAAAACAATGCATATATCTTAATTTAAAGTTACTTCATGAGCTTCCCTAGTGGCCCAGTGGTTAAGAATCCACCTTGCAATGCAAGGGACATCAACCAGGTTCGATCCCTCCTCCAGGAAGATCCTACATGCCACAGGGTAACTAGGCCCATGAGCCACAACTACTGAGCCTAAGCTCTAGAGCCTGTGCTGTGCAACAAGAAAAAGTGAAAGTCGCTCAGTCATGTCTGACTCTTTGCTACCCCAAGGACTATACAGTCCATGGACTTCTCCAGGCCAAAAAACTGGAGTGAGTAGCCATTGTCTTCTCCAGGGGATCTTCCCAACCCAAGGATCAAACCCAGGTCTCCCACATTGCAGGCAGATTCTTTACCATCTGAGCCACAGGGAAGCACTGTGCTCTGCAACAGGAGAAGCCACTGCAATAAGAAGCCCAGACACCGCAGCATGAGAGTAGCCCCTGCTCACTGCAACTGGAGAAAGCCTGTGAGCAGCAATGAAGACCCAATGCAACCAAAAAAAAAAAAGAAAAGCCTTATTACTAAAAAATGCAAACCATCATCTGAGCATTCAGCAAGTCATGACAGTAACTTCAAAGATCACTGATCATAGTATAATGAAAAGCTTGCAGTATTTTAAGAATTACCAAAATGTGACACAGAGACAAGTGAGCAAATACTGTTGGAAAAAAGTTGCTCAATGCAGGATTGCCACAGTCCATCAATTTGTAAAAAGACAAAAACAAAGTAAAATAAATCGAGGTATGTTTGTAGTTACAATGTATTGTGTGACTACTATGTGCCATGTGTCAAATGCATTTATTTCTATTTTAGAGGGGTATAAATTATGTAAATGAATTCCAACTTAGGTTTGTTTGGCTTCAAATCCTGATATTTTTGGACTATGCTGCTGCTGCTGCTAAGTCACGTCACTTGGGTCAGACTCTGTGCGACCCCATTGACGGCAGCCCACCAGGCTCCTGTCCCTGGGATTCTCCAGGCAAAAACACTGGAGTGGGTTGCCATTTCCTTCTCCAGTGCATGAAAGTGAAAAGTGAAAGTGAAGTCGCTCAGTCGTGTCTTCAAATCCTGATCATGGCTTCAAATCCTGATCTTTTTGGACTATGCTGCTGCTGCTGCTAAGTCACGTCAGTCGTGTCCGACTCTTCGAGACCCCATGGACTGCAGCCTACCAAGCTCCTCCGTCCATGGGATTTCCCAGGCAAGAGTACTGGAGTGGGTTGCCACTGCCTTCTCCGTTGGACTATGCTAAACACACACAAATTTAAAAATAAAGGTGGGGGGGGGTAATAAGCAATTCACAAATCCCGCACAGGATTTTCAGAACCTCCGGGGCATCCACATGGACTACTTTCGGTGTGGGCTATTAAGAACTTTCACAAGTCACACACTCCTTTTATCTTGCTGGAGGGCGTCTGGCTGTATGTCTTTCCCTGGAGAATCTATTTGACATCCACAATATACCCTCCTCTTTTACAGCCCAAATGATGATGCCTTATGATTTGCACTCTGTCTTTCTCACTCCTTTCTGGCCCTCCTGTATACCTAAAGAGGAAGCATTTGCCTTTTTGCACGATAAAGAGATGTAAGATAAAACATCTGTCCTTTCAATGAACTACATGACCCAGCCCATAGACTGTCAGAGATCTTGGATGTCAATGCAATGTGCACCACCTTTTGCCTCGTTTCTGTGCAGTGCTTAATCCCAGGCATCTCGGGTTGCACGCTCCATTGCGTTTAACAGCATCCTACTTTCTACCTCTAGACCTTCCGTCTCACCCGCTCCCTGATGGATGGGCAAGGCCAAAGACCAGGCGGCGTGACCTTGGGCAAATTCTCGCTTCCGCCTCTTTAGCTGAGCGGGGCATCCCAGCACCCGCACCTTTTCCCCCTCCGCTTCTTCGCAGAGCGGCTCCCCCATCCCCGCCCTTACGCTACTGGCGTAGTGGCCGCGTCCAGCCGCGGCGCCTTCTCATCCCAGACGCTCGTTTACGCCGCGCGGACTGGGAGGGCGCGATTCCCGAACGCGGCCAGCGCTGCGAGCGCGCGGCCGTCCCGCAGGCCGGCGCGGCCTTACGCTGCTGACGCAGCGCGCCCAAGATGGCGGCGCGGTCGTCGTCGGGGGTGGCGGCGGCAGAGGGGGCGGTGGCCGCGGCGGCGGCGACGGCAGCCGTGACGGCGGCGGCGGAGCGGGGCCTCGGCCGGGGGGCATGAGGCGGCCGCGGCGAGCCAGCGGCGGAGCCGTATAGCGGAGTAGCGGCTCCCCCTCCCTGCTTCCCTTGGCTGAGCCGGGGGCGCGCGCGCGCGCGCGGCCGTCCGGAGCGGGCTCCCCACCCTCGACTCCCGAGACCCGCGCCGCACCCCCCAACCTGGGCCCGGAGGATGATGAAGCTCAAGTCGAACCAGACCCGCACCTATGACGGCGACGGCTACAAGAAGCGGGCCGCGTGCCTGTGTTTCCGCAGCGAGAGTGAGGAGGAGGTGAGGCGCGGGGCCGGCCCGGGGTCTCCGGGGTCGGTGGTCACCTCGGACTGAGGCGCGGGGCTGGGGGAGGCGGGAGGCGCGTCCTGGGCCCGGCCGCTCGGTTCGGCCCGAAAGAAGTTCCGACGGAATTTCCTGAGGCGAGGGCGAGGGGGAAAGGGACGAGGACGGTGGGCGGAGGGGAAGTGGGTCTGAGGTTCGGGCCGATGGGGACGGCAGCTCGCGGCCGGGGCACTCGCGAGCGGGCCTCCTGTCACTGAGGAGAGAGGGGCGGCGGGCAGAAGGCGGTGGCCGCGGAGAGCGCGCAGCGTTCACGCCGGGCCTGCGGCTCGGGGTCCGGGGAGGGCAGCCCCGCGCTTGTGTCAGGCCAGCCCGGCACATGGGTGTGTGCAGCAGCCGCCGTGCACGCGGCGCGGGGCCGGCCCTTTGTGGCGGAGAAAGCATCCACTTCATTGGCAGATTCGGGGTTTGCCGAGGGATTATGTACGTCTGGGAGCCCGAGGCGGTGGGGGGAGCCTTAGGAAGATTTAGGGCGTTGTGCAAAAGCCAAAGCCAGTTGTTTGTTTTCCACTGCGCTGGGTAGTCCATATGGTGTAAGCCTGAGAAGAAAGGACAGTTTGATAAGATAATCTTTGTGGGTTGAAACTTTTTTCATTTTAATTGGGAAAGCCAAAATCGGTCTTTTAAGATTCTTTGCTCCGACATTCCTCCATTGCCCTAGGAAGATCTTTAGGATTAAATTTGCTTGCAAAATAGAAATGCTTAGAATCTGCACAGGGTACTTAAAAAAAAAAACTCTAAACTCCTCAAAGCCGTTTCTCTGGTGATAAAGGGAATTCAGAGAAGGCGAATGTTTTTTGTAAATCCTCAAAAGAATAGCTGCTTTGGAAATTCATAAGATGCTTGTGGGAACGCGTTCCTCTCGTGTGTATGGTGGTAAAATGGCAGTTAAACTGGGAACAATGAAGGACAGTGAAATTCAATATGCTGTATTCCAGCATTCAGCAGTGGGCTATCGTGGCAGGGCTGCAAGTACAGTACATCGTGTTGAAATGGAGAGAAAAGAACTTGACCCGTTAGTTATGAAAAGAAGCTGTGATGAAAGACAGATGGGTTGCCAGAAGTTGCTGTCCAAAGATATTTAGGAGGAAGTGGAAATTTATTGCCTGGGAAAAAAAAGTTGATAAAAGCACTGTAATTGTACTGTTGAGAGATTTTGTGTGTTCCTTTCAGTGAAACAGTAGGAAACTAGATTTGTATACTTTGTGTCCAAGAATATATTGTAAAAGTCCTCAAAACAGATGCATTGTAATAACTGCTAGGCAGTGCCTTGCTGTAAATTGTGTACTGTTTTGGAATACATACTTGCATAAAGTAAAACGACTGGTGATGTTTACTGCCCCAGAGACTTTGTTCTCCCCATTATCATGTCGTATTATGGGAAATCAGATGGGATCACAGGCTGTTAATTGGAGGGAAAACTAATTAGCATAATAACATGTCTTACTGCCGTAATATGGTTAAATCTGTGGGAACCCCAATTATAAGTAGAAGGGTATATAATTGTATGAATGATGCAAGACTTTACATGTTAAATAAATCATACTAGGAATTGAGAACATGTGAATATTTTGGATAAATTGGAAACCCTTTATGGATCATAAGCAAAGTAAAGAAGACTTGATTTTCTATTTTCTGTTGAAGGTTTATTATATATCGGTACAAGCAGCACTGATGTTAAAACATTTGACTGATCATGAAGTTTCCTCTACTGAATTTCTTTTTGAACATTGGTTAATGAGCAGAAGATTCATGCAAATCTTTAATTACAGATTCAGTAGATAATACAGCTAAAGCCTAGGAAGAATAAAATTAATGAAATGGGTGTATTTTAGATTTGTTTAAACTTACATGTGTTAAGAGCCTACTATATTGGTGCAGCATTCTGTAACATGGGATTTAAAGATAAACATCCCTCCTTGTCCCAAAAAGTTGAGTGGTTTTTTATTGGAACCCTTAATTGGGAGGGATTTTGGACCACAGAATAATCTCTAGGGTGCCATTCAATTCTCAGATTATATAATTGTGTTGGAAGGGAAGTAATTTGTTAGTTCCAGGAGAACTTTTATGTTCTCAATAGTAGTGCCAGAAACTGGAAGCATTAGCTGCCATGCATTGCAGGAATGTGAAATTCAAACTCAATAGGACATTCAACCCAATTTTATTTTTTAATGAGCACTAATGGCTTTAATCAAGATAGAATAATTTCCAGAATACTATCAATATTAGCATTAAAACAATAATAATGTGAGTATGAATAGGACCCTGATTTATAAATTTAGTTAACCAGTGTCAGGAAGCATACTTAAAATGTAAAGAAAAAGAGATGGAAAATATTAGCAGATAATAGACCATGAGTCAAACCTTCTAGCATTCCATTTTTCCAGCCCCAGAAAATTTTATTTATAGGCCAGCAGTGATAGCAGCTGAGATACTGATCCAGGTTGGGGTGTGTGAACATATTCAGCAAGTTTACTGAGCAGCTTTATTGAGCACTCATCAAATGTCAGGTTCTGTGATACAGTTACAAAGGAGACAGGCAGGCAGGAAGCCTAGAGGGGCAGACTCAACAACATGATGAAAATGAGTTCTCTTTCCTTCAAATCTCTGTTTGCTTTTCCTGTTGATAAACAAGCATCAATAGCAGGAAAGTTCCCCTCCTTAGATGTTTTGCTAATTATGGTGACATTCTGATAAATTAAGACCTTTAGGTTGGGGCGTTGGTGATGATTAGCGTTTCTTACAGTGAACCTGGTGTAAGTGGACAGTCTCTTGCCCAGCCTCCGCTGTAACCACTTGGTACACTTGCCTCTACTCTGTGAGGGGCTGGTCCTGACAGGTTCCAGACCATATGGCCTCCCAACCAGTTGTATTGATCCCTGTATTTGTTTATGTTTTTTGTAATATATTCATTGTATTTATCTCTCCATCTGTGTGTATTTGTTGTAATACACTGAAAATTGTAATTATGCAGTGTAATTAAGTATGACGTCAGTTGGTGAAATTTGAGTTCAAAAAGAATGGTTTTGTGAAAAATATTTCAAATGTTTTGGAATGATCCAGTAATTTCAAGTTATTGAAAAAAAATTGCTGCTCGATTAATATGGATTTGAAAACTAAAAAAGATGGAGAAGAAGTCTTAAAAGTCTAGATGGACTCTGCATATAGATCACTTCATGAATATTTTCAGGTTTTTGTTTTTCTTCTTAAAAAACTGAAAATTACAGGTCACACATGGTGGGCATAGTGTATGAAAGACAACTTGCATTTCAACAGTAGATCCACAGTCAAGATATGGACTGACTACATCATGACTGACAAAGATTAGCAAATAAATATACTTTATTTGTTTACTTACTCATTTAAGCTGTGCAGCATGGTGGATTCTTAGTTCCCTGACCTGGGATGGAACCTATGCCCTATGAAGTGGGAGCATGGAGTCCTAACCACTGGACTGCCAGAACGTTTCTGCATTTATATTTTTAATCTGCCATATCTTCCAATTAATATTTTATCATAAACATTACAGAATACTGAAACATTTCTTGAGTAAGATTTTATTACACTAAATTGGGTATAATGACATTCATCTTTGTCATGGTGTTCACCTTGGGCCTTCCTAAAGCACTTCCAGTGAAATCATCTCTCTTACTTCCTTTCCTTTCCTACTTTGGAGCCTCCGTGATTACAGAAAGGGAGAGATACAGAAAGGGAGAGCAAGGGGTGGGCTTGCTTGTACTCTGCCCTTCCTGGCCTGGGGTAGGGGAGTGTGACACAGGCGTTTTAGACAGTTGAAATATCTAGCAATGTGAAATACTCCCCTGGAAAGGCTAGTGATACTGACTGTACATGGGGTGACATCACAGTGCTTGGGAAAGTTGAAGTTGCTCCTCGGGGGTTCTTTTTTCCTGAGGCAGAAAGGTAAGTGTTGATTTCCTTGTGCATTAAAACCGTTTTTATTTTTAAAAACTCTTTTTAAAAACAAAGAACAAAACTGTCCTTAAAGGTCTTAGTTTTGCTTGTTGAGCTTTTCCGTCAGGAGCCTGCCTCTTGGCATGGGGTTCCTGGTTCTCATTTCCTCAGATCCTTGAGCTCACTAGGTTGGGTGAAGGGATGACTGACGTTGAAGACCCTCAGTGAGTGGAGATTCTGGTAGCCTGAGTGTTTGTCAGTAAAAATGCCCCCAGGAGAGCAGGTGAAAGGACCTTCCCCCAGGCTCCAGAGTGGGCAGTGAGGCTCAGGTGGCACTCCCAGGGGTGACAGCCATGGTGAAGAGCTTCCAGTGGAGCCCAGGCCGGTTGGGGAGTCCTTTTGTAGCATATCTCGGGGATTGTACAGTATTACATTACTTTAGAGTCACCACGAGTGCATGGATCCAGCTGACTGGACATTTTTTTTTTTTCCTCATTTATTTTTATTAGTTGGAGGCTAATTACTTTACACTATTGTAGTGGTTTTTGCCATACATTGACATGAATCAGCCATGGATTTACATGTGTTCCCCATCCTGAACCCCCCTCCCACCTCCCTCCCCATCCCATCCCTCTGGGTCATCCCAGTGCACCAGCCCCGAGCACTTGTCTCATGCATCCATTCTGGGCTGGCGATCTGTTTCACACTTGATAATATACATGTTTCAATGCTATTCTCTCAGATCTTCCCACCCTCGCCTTCTCCCATAGAGTCCAAAAGTCTGTTCTATACATCTGTGTCTCTTTTTCTGTCTTGCATATAGGGTTATCGTTACCATCTTTCTAAATTCCATATATATGCGTTAGTATACTGTATTGGTCTTTATCTTTCTGGCTTACTTCACTCTGTATAATGGGCTCCAGTTTCATCCATCTCATTAGAACTGATTCATATGTATTTCTTTTTAATGGCTGAGTAATAGTCCATGGTGTGTATGTACCACAGCTTTCTTATCCATTCGTCTGCTG